CTCTTTGATGTCTGAACTATTTAAATAAAACAACATATTATTGCCACATATTTGTGTCAACACGTGTCAACTAACGTGGCACAAACATTTCCTCTAAAAAAGGGAGTCGTTGTTACGATACAACGTCATTACTATATGTACGCAACATAACGAACCGGTCGCTGTAACTGAAACTGAACAAGGGATGGTAGAAGATAACTAAATTCTTTCTCAAAAGTCATTATTATTAAAAATACTCTAATATAATCTTTACACTGTTTAATGTTAATAGACAAGTCACGGATCTATTTTACAAGCAGATCAGGGATATTATAGAGGGTGGATAACTTTTTTTTATGGGGCAGACGGATCACCTGATGGTAAGCAATCGGCGTCGCCCAAAGAACCCCGGAAAACCAGAGGTAGAAATGCGTTACCGGCCTTTTTTGGGATTAGGAATTCGATGATTATTGGGAATTCGGTGAGTGGGGAGAATTCCTTCAACCCAGCACTAGGATAAAAACCGTCAATTAATTTAACAAATGCAAATGCCAAGTATACTAATCAACAATAGCGCATAAACCACACACCCACAAAAGCTTGCTAAAAATTACTACTTTGCAATATAATTTACTGCATTACATTTAGTGAAAACTCCAACAAAATAAGGATTACAAATCCCTCATATAAATTTTCAATGATTTCCCACCTATTCTCGTTGCAATATCTTCATTGCAATTCAAATCCTAACTGTAACATTTCAAGTAAGTACTTTAGGCAATTGTTTTGAACGTAAATTCATTTGACATCGGCTCAGATCAGGCTACACAAAACCAGTATATAATGGCCTCGGTTTGTATTATCATTCTGAACATACGACGGTCATTTTATACTGAATGTTTAGTTTGATAAGTAATCGTGTGTAGATTTGAATACATGCAAGTATGATGTATCATGGCGCATACAACGTGACAGGTTTAATGACCCCTGTCATCTGATTGGATTATTTGCTTCAGTTGCGATAGATGAATCATTTTGTTCATTAACTATGTATTAGTTCGGTACTTGGCAATGTATAAGGGGTTACAGAACAAGTATTTACAAATACCACTCGGGGTATCACTTCAGTCGAGCCGGGCCGCGGTAACCCCGGCCTCACTGAAAACCGTCGTGAAACAACGGTTATCGGAGGCCCAATTACCCCCCTTCCCTTTTCCAGTCCCTGAATCCTCAACAATCCTCAAAATCCTAATCCCAAAAAGGCCGGTAACGCAATTGTAACGCCTCTGGTGTTCCAGGTGTCCATGGGCGACGACGATTGTTTACCATCAGGTGATCCGTCTACGTCTACGTTTACTCGTTTACCGGCTTTTCCCATAAAAAAAATAAACTCACTGGCTAGCTGGCTGTAAACCTGTATAGTTTGGTTTCAACTATAATAGTTCATTTTTAAATGAAACACTAAGTAGTTGTTCTACACTAGTTGCACTCTTTCAGCCTAAAATTTCAGTCTTATGGGTAAGCTGTATAATTTCCGAAACATCCTGTATACATATAGGTAGGTATATTATTTTTCATGTTGCGTCGAGATTCTCAGAAATATTTCTTGCTTTTAACACTCCAACTGCAATCATAACTGCAATCTTCTGAAAAACAATAACAACCATTTTGTTCATAATCATAACTAACGAAATTAACATTTCTTTTAAATAAAAAATATTTTTTTTATTAATTTTATACCGCCCTTGAACTGTATCTCGGATATGACATTGTCCCTGACATATTGTACTTTTAAACTGAATTGGATTTACGCAAAGGAAACTTTGTATTCAGCCTGCATGTTTTATTTTTTTTTTCACCTGTTTAGTATTGCCAATGTAATAAACATTGACAGATAGTGTTAAACTTTGACAGATAGTATTAATGCCATGGGCATTCTTACTAGCCAACCTTTAGGTGATGGCCACCATCAGCACCTGTAAAGGTAACTGGTCTGCTCAATAGACATTGGCTGGCCCAGAGATGGTCTCATCTCTGCCTGTGACAAAACTTCAAAGAGCAGAATAAAGCCCTGCCCTACCCATATTTTAATCCTCCTAACTCATGAAAATCTATAAGCCCAAGCCCAATACTCAATATTAATGAATATCACTTATCACATCGTCCAATCATGTGTTATTCAGTTGTTATTTGGCTGAGATATAGTTCGTTGACCCGTGTGCAAGCGCATCGTGGCGCCCGCAATACAGATGCAAGTACCAGAATATGTCTGCATAAATAGGATGTTCTGAAAACGTAAACTATTAATATTTCATTGTGTTTCATGTGGTAGTTAGTACTTGGTATATATTCTGTTTATAGTGATGATTTCTCAATAAAAGATTATGTGTGTATGTTGCGCATGACTGTTATTTAGTCACGTTTACCGTAGCCGCGGAGGGCTTAACGGGTTGCCGGGGCTCCAGTTTGGAACGGGGTGATTTTTAGTCAGTAAGAGTCTAATACCTCTCACAAAAAAGTCACCTTTACCCTTATGATTTGTCGCGGAGAACCTAACGGGTTACTGGGGCTCCGGCTCGACGTCCAGGAGAGGGAACAGATTCGACACTCCTTCCCTCCTCACCCAGGCGGGAGCAGTCATTCAATGAATCCCCCCCCCCCTTAAAAAAAACATCAAAATAACCAAATCAATTATTATATTTTTCGACTAGTTAGTAACAGGCGTCGCGTGTCGCGGAACACTGCTCATGAATATGAGCCCCTAGCATGGCTTAAAACTAATCGAGTTCCTCGTCAAATAGTTACGTGAGTAAGCCGAAAAACATAATAATTAATTCAGCATTTCTCACGAAAGTTATAATAACTAAATCAATTTGAATTTCTATTATTATCGTCCAATTCCCTTTTCCATCACGATGCGTTCCACGTGCCGAGAGAGAGATTTCAACTGAATACCGTTACAGTTGCATCGTCTATACAATGTACTGCATTTTCAACCAAATCTGACTGTGAAATGATTGATACTATGTTTTATTTATTAAGTATAAACATCATATTTATTTTGTATGTTCGTTGGTGTACACCTGAACTAATAGAGCTGTAAAAACTGTTTGTTAAATTAGGTGTGGATATCGCTGCAACTGTTTAAGCATTTTATAAAATTATTAAAATAGAGATGTACATGACTCTTTCAAATAGAAACAGAAGTAAAATGATGGAGAAAAGCTACACATATTATATGTAATACTTCAAATATCTGAAATGAATCTATATTTCCTTTAGTCGCCATTTTCAGAAGGAAAAGCTCCATATATTTCCTTATATTATAGCCATCATAAAAGTAATTTCTAATGGAAGCAAAAGTATTGGGGAATTCAGTTGATCAGTAAATTTTTCAATAAACAGGAGAATTTGAAAATAGAGAATTTGAAAATCCCATATTAAGTAGGTAAATAATAAGCATGAACATAATAATTTCATTTTACATAAGAAAGATGACATTAATGAACCCTAATACTAGTTAAACACACTTTACAAATATGCCTTGTCATTTCATAAAGGACGTTTAAAAAACCGACTTCCACCCCCTCATTTTTGGTGGTCGGTTAATTAATTTACTAAAACCTTCTCTTATGTGTTATACAAACACGGAGAACCTAACGGGTTACCGAGGCTCCGGCTCGACGTGCAGGAGAAGGAGCGGGGTGGTATTTAGTTAGTACGAGTCTGGCACTCCCTCCCGCCTCACCTACGCGGGAGAAGTCATGAGAAGACTTTCCCACCTTAAAAAAAGTGCTACAAACACATTTCTGGAAACCGAATCAAAGTTGGTTCAACTAATCGTAAGATAACTACGCCCAAACATAGATTCAGGTCAAGTTGAGAACCTCCTTCTTTTTGGAAGTCTTTTAAAACTTGTCAAAAATGCTTCGTAACTCAATAAACATAATTCACCTCGTGCTAAAAAATAAAATCTACTAGTCATACAAAACATTATTTCTTTCATTTTTACGTGACTATTCTTGCATCAATTTCGATTAAAAAGTCGCTTAATCACAGTAAATTGGGTATTTGCATACCTACAGGGACTACTGCCTAAGTCGGCTCTACGATAACTGCAGGAAGTGGTTGTTTAGCGCATCAATTAATTCAATTCATTAAAATACAAGGAAATATTGTGTAGTCCCTTAGGCGGTACCCGCGGGGAGATTAAAGATGACAAAGAAATGTACCAGTATACACTATACTTGTCTGAAGAATTGTTTGGTCTGATACCTGCCGCGTCTTTTTGCCATCGACTATATCCATCATATAGATAGTTGGCAATCCACAACTGTACGTTTTTCTATCTTTCTGCCTCGCACAGCAAAACCATAGTATAAATATTTATACTGTGGCAAAACTGTAGAATGATCTGTCGTCTATGGTATTTCCGAACCGATACGACCTTCAAACCTTCAAGAAAAGAGCGTATTTCTTTTTAAAGGGCCGGCAACGCATTTGTGGCTCTGGTGTTGCAGGTGTCTATGGGCGCCGTTGAACACTTACCATCAGGTGAAAGTGGTAAGTGGAAATGAAAATTACTTACAAAATTGAAGCCCTTCAGGTTTTTACAAAAATATAAAATTTTCCCAACCAAAGCTGGGTATATATAAAATACAATGCAGTATTATGATTACAAAATGACACAATTCGATCTAAATTCAGTACATTATTATAACAAGTATATTGCATTATCAATGTATTAGAAATTGTAATCAGTCAAAAGGAAGCATCATGAATTTTTACTGCAAGTGCGTTGCACCTAAACAGAACAAAGGTCGGAATTAATTGGAAAGTCAATGGTCGAAACTTTCCAGAAACATTGATTTTGTTGGTGGATAAATTCAGTAAACAAGCAGACGGATCACCTGATGGTAAGCAATCGGCGTCGCCCATGGACACCCGGAACACCAGAGGCGTTTTAAGTCCGTTACCGGCCTTTTGGGGATTAGGATTTTTGAGAATTATTGGGAGTGGAGGTAATTGGGGCTCCGGTAACCTCACTCATACGATGAAACACAACGCAAGCGATCTCCGGTCGAGCCGGGCCGTACGTGCCGAAGCATGGTTCTCCCACACTTAGGTAATTGATCTTGGGGAATAGCAATATCCGGAGTTGCAAACAACCTAATGGATAACCGGGGTTTCAGTTCAAGTAGCAGTAGAAACGGGATGGTGTATGACAATAAGAGTCTGACACTCCCTTTCGCATCTACGGCGGGATAAGTCATTGGACGATTCATAGGATTATCTTCTGGATAATTTAATACGGTTTTTTTTTCGCAATAGTCACAACGTCACTTACAGCTGCCTAAAGTCCGCCTGCACAAATTTTGTGTTAGATATTAAGTTTAAAGGCAGTAAAATATGTATATAATTATTTTTATTACACTTGGAGAAACTTACACTAGACTGCCTCGTATGTAAGCCGAGTGCGAGTTCGATTCCCAGGTCGAGCAAAGTATTACTGGGTTTTTCAAAAATCTCAGTAGTAGCACGTAGTTTGAAATTGTGCCCGGTATATGGCAATAGGCTCACCCCCTCCCTATTACATGGGACTCATATCATAAATCGTGAAAAGTGGGTGTTACATTGTACAGTGGCATTAAGGGCCGTAATGTGCACCTCAGCATACCCCTTCGGGGATAAAAGGGGTTATGTATGTAAACTTACAGTAAGAGTTCTACGCTACAATAGACTGAAAGAATTTTTGTCAAATATTACAATTATGCAAGTTTACTGTACATAGATACACAACATATTTTTTTTATATATAAAACATGAATCTCTGATTCCCTTCGTCATGGCATCACGCGTGAATGACTGGACCGATTTCACTAATTCTTTTTTTGTTAGGAGAATCCTAATAATAACAAATACAACAAAAAAAGAATCTTAAGACAGAAAAAGTCTTGATAATCCTACGGGAACGGGAGAAAACGGGATTGCGAGTACGAAGTCGCGGGCAGAAGCTAATAACTAATTAAATATTTCCTATATATACACTTTATCCTTAACAATACGAGATGCACTGGTTTATTTAGTTAACCCAATTAGTAACATTATTATTGCACTAAATACCGGTCATAACATAATATTCATGTCTATATTTACTGACTGTTTGTCCTATGAGAGTGTTAATAGTACTAAGCACATATTAATAATTCATAGTGATTACAAAGCGTACCTACTAAGGCGCGTGAGTGAACTGCCCTGATTACTTAATAAATTAGCAAACCAATACACTTAATTGATATGATATGTTCCAGGAAGACACTACAATCGACCCTACCACTTTCACTAGATACTAAAATTACAATCTTCGTTCATTGACATAAAGATGGAATTCGGATGTCATTACACGTAGCACTTCCGTCGTTTTGATTTAGCAAAATAAATTGCTACAAAGCTCAATGATCCCGCTTCCGTGTACATTGAAATGTAAGCTCTATTCGAAGTTTTTAGAGTTGGATTTTTCTTGACGTGAAAGTTGTGTGTTAAGGCTTTTTTCGTGGTGGTTTTATCTCGCGCTTGCGAAGTTCAACGGCCGTCCTAGCCCCCTCCATGGAGGCGACTGCTTTTGGTAATTAACGACAAAAAATGTAATTATCTGGGTGCTGTGTTAGAGGAAATGGTTAATAAAAATGGTCTGGATTGACGGCAAGTTTATCTGTCAGGTGGTAAGGAAATTTCTTCAAAAAGTATGGTCATATAGGTTTAATTGAAACAGCTGGTTCTTATTTACTGAAGAAAATGCGTCAATCCTCTCCTTGCTATTCTCAAATACAATAAAACATTAATTGTCAATATTGTACTTAAGAAATTGTGTTAATTGCAAGTAAATAATATAACTGTAATAACGGTTAAGACGTGTGTCCTTCATGGTATTTAATATTTTAATTTCCTTTTATTATATAGGTGCCAATGTATTTTACTGATAGGTGTGAAGTAAAGTACATGTGTTTTACATAAATTACTCACTTAATAATTAATAAATTGTTAACAATATTGTGAATGCGAAAATCAAGTGTATTTGTTGATATTGTGTTTGTAATTCTTCGTGCTGCTTGCTTTTTTTTCACGTCGCTATGATTTTTTTTATCGATTTCCAAAAAAGGTTGAGGTTCTCAATTCGGCTGCTTTTTTTTTTAATAATTTAGTTTTTATGTTTAAGATAAGTAGTTAGATGAAGTGTAATTCCTTTTGAGGTGAAGCATAGATAATAAATAATTTAATCAAGTTATAAATTAATCGTAATTTAAAGAGAAAATGGTTATCTACAATTAACTAACTGTAATTAACTCATAATTTCCGGAATTTATGGACAAAACTGTTTGTAAATATTGTTCTTCGACATTGCTTGTATTACTTAGTTGTGTTATAAATATATCTATTTAACTTTATCTTTATTAGTTAATTAAAATATATCAGTTTTTGCACAGATAAGATTTATTTTAAAAACTTATAAGATATGATAATACCATTTTTTTAAAGTAATCAATACTAACAGAGATCAAAAACGTGCACTTTACCAAATCTTTTGAAAATGCATTAACCTATTAAATAAATCTAATAAAATAAAATCCGGTTCACGATAACTACTTAGGTACACACCTACCGAAATATCGAAAAATTCTTACAGACTTATATTTGAAATTAAAGCTTTAACTAAATTTATTGATATGTAGAAAACATATTAATTCAGATATTTTTATTTATTCATTTAATGATTTATGTACACACAAACAGCACAGAGGATAACACATTTATAAAATAAGAGTACAAAGGTGCTACTTATTCCTGTTGGAATTTCTTCCGGTAGACCTGAGACAGGAAATGTAATAAAAACATGAGACACAGACTGTAACAGAAGAAAAAAAAATATTGACATTAGCTTATTCGATGTGATCTCTAACGCCCGAATATTGAGAGGCTACAAGTTTAATTTATACGTGAATAGTGTCATCATCTATGACAGAACTATAACTTTAAGGCGATAATTTAGTGGCGTTTGAGTATTTCAGCGAAAGAGACAAAGCCTTCATACTCTGGACTTATCTTGATGATAACTTCAGTAAATCTATCTATAAAATAAAAGACATAAAAACTGTATGAGAGTCCAAAGTAATATTAATAATAATTTCAAGTAGGTACATATTTCAATAACATGTTAAGATAAAATGAAAAAATAATTGTTGGATAGAACGCGCCATGTATTTTTGACATACAAAACAGAAGATAAAAAAAATATATTTGAATTTGGAACATGAAAAAGTAATTGTAATAATCAACGTCACCAATGAGGTTATAGCAAAAGAGTTTGGGCCAAAAAACTCTTCCCTTAATTTCTAAGTAAAATATTTTCTTATGTGACTCAGAGCTTTTTTTATAATGTTACAGATTAATTCTCCACGGACACTTGATCCGTACCCTTGTCATATATTTTTTTATTACAATACGTCTATTAATTTCTAAATGGTTTAAATAACTACTAAATTCATTATTCTTTTTTTAAATCGATGCAAATAATTATCTTTCTCTAAATAATCTTAATAGAGGATGTAATAATTATAATTCTTACTAGTAGTAGGTACATATTTATTACAAATTACAGGATATACTTAAAGCGAGTATATAAAATCAATTCGTCTAAACTTTGGCAATAGCTAGACATTTTATCGATGCAAGTGTCGTACGATAGTCTAAAAGTTCGGTCATCGACCCGAGACGTACGAACACCCCTATTCTGATGTAATTACTATCGATATCGATGTATTTTGGTGTTTTATTGACAGATTTGATATTGATAGAGGTTAGAGGTGTTCTTTTGTGTTGATTTACTTATTGAAGAAGTTATTTATGATAAACTATTACAGGCAAAACTGGTATGCAATTTTTAGATATGATTCAAAGAAAATTCGTATAATGTTAGGTACCTATTGTAATATATAGTTAGTAACTTATTTTGCGGATAAATTACACTTTCATTCCCATGTAGATAAATTAATGCATAACTAAGAATATATATTAGATTTGTAATCACAAAATATTCTACATTTCGAAGTGACTTAATCTACTTTTAAATATATATCATATCGTGGAATTTCGAGTAAATAAATTCAACACTTAGGTACGTTTCACAGTAATAATCCCCGTATCATTCCAAAACATGGCTGCTTTGCATCAAATCAGAATAAAGGTGAACGATTTATAATGCGAATGAAGACGAACTAATAAACTAAGTAACTTATTGCTTTCATCCTAACTTTAGCAACTTAATTGCTTTATTACTTACGAAGCAAGTGCCGATGTTGTGAGAATGATTTGCTTGGGCGATTTTAGTACGTCTACTCGATAAGAGATGGCGCTGTTTTTCGTAACATTAGAACTGTTTTAATATTAGCTAACGTAGGATTTATTCATTATTTTCTAATAAATTACATCTTTTTTGATACAGTTTTAGCCTCTGATAAGTTTTAATAATAACATACAGGTGTATTTCTTAGTATTTTTTTTATTATAAGCTTGTAATTTAAACTAAATGTCACTGTCAATAAAATGCAGAGAGAATCTTCAAACATTATGCAGGCTGCAGGCAAATTGTCTCAAAACTATGTATTTATCTTAAACTACATTAAAACCATAATTAAATAATAGATATTAACAGACAACGAGGACGCAGTACCTAGTTTTTTCTAAAAGAAATCGATAACAGCCATATTTAAAAAGATCACCAGCTCGCAATAAATATAGCTACCACGTTACACGTATTTTTAATGAACAAAAGCAAATAAGTGGCAGAAAAACAACATAAAATTTATCGATTACAGATCATTCGATATTCCTTCCGCAGCTGCGAATAGATTAAACATTTTTTACAACACTAATTCCAATGATTCGCGTAAAGAATACGAATGCGATTCTCGTGTCGTGCGACAATCGATAAGTTTATTAACTTTTTTTACTCTTTTTTTTTTACAATCGAGTTAAACCGAGTAGAGTAATCGGCAT